TAATTATCATTATCATGATCATGATCACCCTCAGCAAGAGATTCTAATGGCACACCATTGTCTTCACCTCCAGAAGAATCAAGTAGAGTAAATTCCTCGTTCAAGTCTGGTACTGAAACTATATTTAGATCAAACCCACGAGGCCGTCGAGATGGCAATTCTTCTACTGGCTCACTACTTTTCTCAGTATCTACATTGTAAAACGCTTCAAGCAAGCCTTCCTCCTGAGCTTCAGCCAATTGCACATACTTTGCAAGTTGCGCGATCTGGAATCTTGATGAAATGCTGCTTTTTTTCTCTCGATCTGAAGGCTGATCATCTCCTACTAAATCAGTTCTTCTCTTTTTCCTACCATCCACTGTGTTATCACGATTCTGTTGCAATATCTCAACGCTCTTGGTGAAGCACATAGCATTGGAATGGCCTAATAAACCAGCTTCTGTGTATGAGACAACACGGAATGTGTACTCTGTGCAAGGCTCAAGGTCAGATATCAGCATCCTCCTCTCGGTTCTACTGCAATCAACAAACTGATCATCCTCGGGCATCTCTCCTTTCTTAAAGCACCATAACTTATAACCCTTCACACCACATTCAGTAGCACTAGGAAGTTCAATCAGACGAAGTGTCACTTGTGTTGGTGCAATATCTTCAAAATGGAACCTACATGCAGCACGAACTGAATCTGCAGAAGAATAAAGAACTTATTACATTATTTTCTCTTTCACATTCACTGCAACAAAAAAAGCCAATCCTTATAGAGAAAACATTGCCCACTAAATCAAAGATTTCTCTAATACAATACAAACCTCTGGCTCTGGCTACATTGGCAACCAAGTCCTCTGCCATTTTAATTGCAGAAGTGCAGAGTTCTTGCACCTCGCTTGCAACAGGAAGCCGACTAACAATGCCCCGATCAGTTCTTGCAGAAGGCCCGTCAAGAGGCCCGACTTCATCTTCCAACATAGACTTGGCAGCTCTTACAACCTCATGTAATTCAAAAAACCGACAAGTCCCATTCAGAAGTCTGTAACTCAATGCTATCCTGTAGCACAGTACATCGCGCCGCCGTGCTTCCTTCGCTGCCATTAGCTGCTTTTTCCAACATCTT